TCTTGTGACTCCATTTCTTTTAGAATTAGTGGACCAAATCTCTCATGTTTAGCAATAGCATTCTGAGACAGAGCCTAGGGGGGCCTTATTTTCAGGGGGATGCCTTATATTTCACTCAGAAGGAAACCTGTAAGTAGGTCTTATTTTCGGAGGATGTCTTATTTTCGGGGAAACACAGTAGCTATTTTTCTCTTTTTGCTTGTAAGATCCTTTCTTTGTCTTTTGCCCTTGGCATTTTAATTATGATGTGTCTTGGTGTGGTCCTCTTTGGATTCCTCTTGTTTGGGGTTCTGGGCGCTTCCTGAACTTGTAGGTCTATTTCTTTCACCAGGTAGGGAAAGTTTTCTGTCATTATTTCTTCCAATAGGTCTTCAATATCCTGCTCGCTCTCTTCTTCTGGCACCCCAAAAATCCAGATGTTGGTACGCTTTAAGCCGTCCTGGAGGTTCCTTACACTATCCTCACTTTTGGATTCTTCTTTCTTTCTGCCTGTCTGGTTGGGTGATTTTTTTCTTCCTTATATTCCAGATCTTTGGTTTGATTCTTGGGGCATGTTTATCCATAGTTGAGTTTCTGTATATTCTTTATTTCAGAGATTGTATGCCTAATTTCTGACTGGTACTTTTCCATTTTTTTTGGTCTTGAAGGTCTCACAAAGCTTTTGGGAGGTCTCATCAAGTTTCTCAAAGGTTTTTAGAAGATTCTTTATATATATATATATTATTGATTTCTTAAAGAGAGGAAAGGAAGCATAGAGAGAAATATCCATCAGCTACCTCCTGCACACTCCCCATTGGGAATGTTAGAAGATTCTTGAGTAACCTTATAAATGTGATTGTGAACTCTGTGTCGATCAGTTTACTTTCCTCCATCTCTCCCATTCATGTCATACTTCTGTGTCTCCTCATTTTGGCTGCCTCCCAGTGTTGATGGAGTGGCTTTGTGTGGTCGGTGACCTATAGGGGCCAGTAGCTCAGCTTCCCCAATCACCGGAGGTGGTCGCTTTTGCTATATCCCTTTGTGGGCTGAGTGCAAAGTCTTGGTGTAATTAAGCCTTGATTGCTGTTGGTACTCTGGGAGGAACTGACCTCCAGGTCAGTTGTCTGTGAGGACCCGCTGTGTATAAAAGAAGAACTGCTGCGCTGGAGACACGCTTTGTTTCAGTGGGGCTTTGGTGCTCACTGAGTCTGTCTCCCGAATGTGTCACTTATGGGTGTGAGGGGTTGAAGATGAGCACTAGAAACACTGGCTTCTGGATATCCAATGGGGTTCAGTTCAGCTACTGTCTGAGGCCACCCTACAGGAACTACAGTGAGAACCAGTCTTCTCCTCCCTGCTTGGAGCTTGGAGGCTTTGGAGCTATCTGCACCAGGTTGCAAGTTTGCTAGGTTAAACTACCACAGAGAAGGCCATTCATATGCAAAAGCCACTGCTTGGAGCTTGGGTGAGTTTGTAGACTGTGCAGGGCAGAATCTCAGAGCGTCACTAAGCTGGGGCGTGGCAAACAGCACTGGCTGCCCGCATCTGCCTCTCTGACCGCATCTCCGCATCTCCCCGGGTCTCACGCCCCAGCACAGCAACAATTATTCTTGCGTACAGCTCTGCAAGCAAGCCACCCTCACTTTCCGACTTGATGGCAGACAGTCTAGCTTCTCTCCAGAAACTGGATTTCAGAGAGATTGGGAGCTTGTCTCTCTTCGGATTGAAGAAAGCAACGCCCTCCACCAGCCGGGATCCGCCGCCTGCCCATATTGTGTCTGCGCCCCCCTACCTCAGTTTTTTAGCGCTGTGCCCTGATTGCTCCTCTTTATCTTCCGGTCTAGTTGGAGAGGTTCCTTTCAGCCAGCCTTCCCATGGTTCTGGGTGACAGACGTTTTGTCTTAGTTGCAGTTTTGAAATTGTTGTGCACGGCAACAGTTTAGGTGTGTTTACCTAAGCCGCCATCTCGGCCTCCTCTCGGCACATCTTGTCAGTTGGCCAGTATCAGAGAAATACATACTGCTCACACGCTACCTTCTGCAGAAAGGCAAAACAACTGCACTGTGAGCGAAAGCCAAGGGGGTAGAAGAAGGTAAGTGCTGCCACTGAGAAAAAGACTTAAGACTTTTCAGCAATAAGCATAGTACTTCTGGCAGCAATCAAGCATTACTTTATCTCTGTAAGATTGTTAATAAAGAACATGGTTATGAATGTCCTTTAAAAATACATTAATTTGATGAACAACAACAAAATGACAGAATATTCAGAAGAATTCAGCTACTTTTCCACATTAGAGATAAAAATTAGATTAAAACTTGTATTAAAAATAAAACAAACCAATATATAAAAACAATGCAGAGATGAAGAAGCCTTTTTGTGTGTGTGTGTGTGTGTTTTTCTTAAAATATATTTTTATTGATTTCAGAGAGGAAGGGAGAGAGACAGAAACATCAGTGATGAGAGAGAATCATTGATGGGCTGCCTCATGTATGCCTCACACTGGGGATCAAGCCCACAACCTGGGCATGTGCCCTTGACTGGAATTGAACCCGGGACCACCCCATCCAAAGGATGATGCTCCATCCACTAAGCCAAACCAGCCAGAGCACGAGCCTGTTTTTAAAGTGATTTAAATATGCCGAAACCGGTTTGGCTCAGTGGTAGAGCGTCGGTTTGTGGACTGAAAGGTCCCAGGTTCAATTCCGGTCAAGGGCATGTACGTTGGTTGCGGGCACATCCCCAGTGGGGGGTATGCAGGAGGCAGCTGGTCGATGTTTCTCTCTCATCGACGTTTCTAGCTCTCTATCTCTCTCCCTTCCTCTCTGCAAAAAATCAATAAAATATACTTAAAAAAAATAAATAAAGTGATTTAAATATGTTTTCAAAGTTTTAGACCAGCATTCCAATTGAAATAAAAATTTACTTAGCCCAATAAATAAAGTAATATAAAGTAAAAAGACACAGCCAGATTAGTATTAGTATATGTTTAAGATATTTTTGGATTATATACAAAATATTATCATTTCAAAATGTAATCACTATAAAATTTTTATTAAGTTATGTTACACTTGCTGAAACCAGTTTGGCTCCGTGGCAGAGCGTCGGTATGCGGACTGAAGGGTTCGATTCCAGTCAGGGGCATGTACATTGGTTGCAGGCACATCCCCAGTGGGGGGTGTGCAGGAGGCGGCTGGTGGATGTTTCTCTCTCATCAACGTTTCTAGCTCTCTATCCCTCTCTCCTCCTAAAAAATCAATAAAATATATTAAAAAAAAAAAAAAAAAGTTACGTTACACTTTATTTCCATAGTATGTCTTCAAATTTCAGGGCATATTTTGCTATTAAAGCACATTCTCAATTCAAATAAAATATTTATTAAAAATATTGGATTTGTCCCATTTGATCCAGTGATCCCACTTCTAGGAATTTGATCCAGTGATCCCATTGCTATGCTGCGGTAAAAAAGAAAGAATTCTTACTATTTGCAACAGCATGATGGAACTGGAGAGCATTATGCTGAGTGAAATAAGCCAGTAAGAGAAAGATACATTTCATTTATGGAATATAATCAACAACACAACTGATGAACAAAAACAGATCCAGAGACAGAGAAACATCGATCAGACTGTCAAACCTCAGGGGAAGGTAGGGGAAGGTGGGTGTAAGGGGGAGAGAACAACCAAAGGACTTGTATGCATGCATATAAGCTTAACCGATGGACACACACAACGGGGTGAGGGCATGAGTGGAGGTGGGGTGGGGGTAATGGAGGGATAAGGGCACATATGTATGTAACACTGTTTTTTTAAAATACTTCATTGATTTTTTACAGAGAGGATAGGAGAGGGAGAGAGAGTTAGAAACATCGATGAGAGACAGAGAAACATCGATCAGTTGCCTCCTGCACATTCCCTACTGGGGATGTGCCCGCAACCAAGGTACATGCCCTTGACCAGAACTGAACAGGGACCTTTCAGTCCGCAGGCCGACGCTCTATGCACTGAGACAAACCGGTTTCGGCTGTATGTAATATCTTAATCAATAAAGACATTTAAAAAAAAATTATGAGAACTAAATGTGAGTCATGATCCTAGAGTAGGTTCTGGACCAGGAAGGAAAAGGAGACACTGAAAAAGTTAGGATATTTGAATGAGGTGTTTTGGAATGAATTGAATGCTATTATTGTATCAATATTAATTATCTGGTTTTGGATGCTTGTATTAGTATTCTGTAGAAAAGTGTCTATGTGAATAAACTAAGGAAACAAAAAAATAAATAAAATAAAATAAACCCCCAAATATTGGATTTGTATTTTGATTCCATAAAATCTACATTTTGAAAAAGTAGTTTCATATGAGTTTTTCCCAACATGTTTGAAGTTTGTGTAGCTTTAATTAAGTTAAACAAAGAATTTCGTTCTTTGTTTGCACCGAGTCCCCCACCTCCCCTCTTCAAATCCTCAAGCCACCTGTGGCCCTGGCTGCAGGCCTCGTCTGAACAGCAGAAGGCAATGTCCACAACTAGACAGCCAGGCTCTCTCATGCCTAAAGTGAGCTGAGCCCCAAGGAACATATTATACCGACACTGATGTCTAAGAATTATTTTATAGATTAAAGCAAACACACTATTTAGAAGAAAGAATACTGGGTGTTGAACATAAGTGGACTAACGTGACAAACACAACAAACACCCCATGAAACAAAAGAAGCCCTGTAAGAGAGCAGTTTCACTCGTTTTAACGGCACTACCATTTTAAGGTGCAACAAAAATTATTAACATAATTGTCCTCAGGTGGGACAAAAATCATGCAAATATCACTAACAATACTAACAACTTTTTAAAGAAGAAAGAGATGGTAATTTAAAACATTAAAGCTTCACATGTTATGTGAACGTAGTTGAAATGAAGTTGAACGTAGAAGCTGGAGTAGTTAAACCCATACAAAATACTCAGTGATCAATTTTTATCTCACTGCTTGAAAAAATGAAAATGTTAAGTCATCTTCACAGTGGAAATCATACCTGGATACTGTCGGATGGTGGACACAGAACTGGTGATTGGGGTATATGTGTGTGCCGTCAGAGGGTATGCAGAAGGTGGGTATGTTGGCAAAAAGTACTGGAACTGGACTGGAACAGACGGTCTATGGATGGAACACAAATAATAATGAGCTAAAGCGGTCTATTGACTTACCTTCAAATGACCCTGTCCCTCAACCTTCTTCACACTCCCACTGCCATAGCAACACCCCACTGGGCTCTCACAATCAGATCAAAGGAAAGAGATCACAGAGTAATGTCTGTACACTGGAGGCCCGGTGCACAAACTCAAGCATGGTTCACTCCCTAGGCCTGGCTGATGTCAGGCCCCACTCTTGTTTGGGGCCGGGCTGGCTGGGGCCAACCTCCCACGGCTATTCCTCCCGGCCAGCTGGCCCCCTCACTGGCCCTGATCAGGGGGCCAGGCAACACCCAAGGTTCTTCCCCCTTGCCGGCTGGCCCCTCTGATAGGCCCAGATTGGGGAGAGAGCATTCAAACATCTCCTGAGGGCTCCCAGACTGTGAGAGGGTGCAGGCCAGGCTAAGTGTACCCTGAGTGCATGAATTTCGGGCACTGGGCCTCTAGTTCTATATAATAAAGAGGTAATATACAAATTGACCCTCCCACCTTACACAAGATGGCCACCCCCATGTGATCAAAGATAGCCACCACAAGATAGCTGGCAGGGGAGGGTAGTTGTGGGCAATCAGGCCAGCAGAGGAGGGTAGTTTGGGGCGACCAGGCCAGCAGGGGAGGGCAGTTGGGGGTAACTGGGCCAGCGGGGAGGGTAGCTGGGAGCAATTTGGCCAGCAGGGGAGCAGTTAGGCGTTGATCAGGGTGGCAGGGGAATGGTTAGGGGGTTATCAGGTTGGCAGGCAGGTAAGTGGTTAGGAGCCAGCAGTCCCAAATTGTGAGGGATGTCCCAGATCGGAGAGGATGCAGGCTGGGCTGAGACACCCCCATCCCTAGGTGCATGAATTTTGTGCACTGGGCCTCTAGTGGCCAAGTGTCCATCTGATTGGTAGCTATGACATGTAGTGACCACCGGGGGGGCAGATGCTCAATGCATACACTGCCAAGATGCAGTGATTTGGCAGCGGCAGTGAAGCACCCCGGAACCAGAGAAGAGGGAGCCCGATTCCTTGCGAGGCCAGGTGATTCCACCATTCGGCTGTGGGTTATTTTGTTGTGGGGGCCCTGTCGCCCGAATCTGGTTTACTGCTCACTTGCATTTGCGTTCCACACCCTGTACAACAGCAACTTTGCAGAGTGCCCTCTCGTACTTGGGGACCCCTTAGTGGATGTAGAGAGCTGGTTTCAGCCCAATCCCCGCAGGCCAGGCTGAGGGATCCCACCTGCTGGAAGGACCGTGGGAGGTTGGCTCCTGGGTGTGTCTGGCCTGTCTTGCCCAGTACCGCCCTGCTGGCCACCTTCTAATTAATTTCCTTTCAATGTGCAGGAATCCGTGCACTGGGTCACTAGTTACTATATAAAATTAAATACATCGTTATCAAATAAGCTTTACCACAGGAAAGTAGGAATGACTCAATATCAGAATTTCTATTTATGTTTTAAATCATTAAAAATGTAAAAGAATCATTGGAAACTTTGCAAAAGATATAAAAATGCTATTAAATTATCATTCAATACTCAATGTCTAAGAAAGCAGGACAGAAACAAAACTTTGTTCCTCAAACTAAAAACAATATCTACAAAAATTGATTATGAAATTTCAAAGACTTGCCATTTAGGTCAGGAACAAGACGAGGATGCTCACTATTTCTGTTATATTCAACATCACATAGGAAGCTTAGCCAACAAGAAAAACCTAAGTATATAAAATAGAAATGAAAAAAACTCCCTAATCCCTCAAAAATCTGCCCTTATTTGTAGATGAAATAAACATTTATGTAAGAAATCCAAAAGAACTTACAACCTTTCAGAGCTAACAGTCATGCTCAGCTGAAAGGATGGACACGGGACACAGAAAAAGCTACGAGCCTTCCTATGTACCATTATAGGTCAGGACAATTTAAAAGTGACCAGATGCTGCCCTGGCAGTTTAAAACTAAAAACCCAGCCCTAACTGGTCTGTCTCAGAGGATAGAATGTTGGCCTGCAGACTCAAGGGTCCCAGGTTCAATTCTGGTCAAATGGTTGTGGGCACATCCCCAGTGTGGTGTGTGCAGGAGGCACCTGATTGATGTTTCTTTCTCATTGACGTTTCTGGCTCTCTCTCCCTCTCCCTTCCTCTCTGCTGAAAATCAATAAAATATATTAAAATTTTTAAAAAGTGACTAGCTGCTGAAGTGACTTCCTATGCAAGTATGCAATGGGGGCGGGGACCGGGGGGAATTAGAGGTATAACCATGTGCTAAGTAAAGAATTTGTAAAGTGTTACATACTTCTTACTTTTGTCTGAAAAAGCCTAGAGAAAACGCCAACAAACAGCTAATGCCTGGTTTCTAAATGATGAAATGAAAGGAATCAGGCTCCTTGGAGAAATGGTGGACTCCAAGATGCTGACAAAGTTTAGGAGGGGCCTGGGGAATCATATTGTGGCAAGGGCTGGAATGACTAGGACATGGCAAAACCACAGGAACTAGTCCGAAGGGGCTCCCATGAACCAAGCCAGAGACAATTTGAGCATCAAAATAGATAGTATTGAGCCTGTAGTAATGAATAAAACCAAATCTATGAGCCTATGCTGATTCTAAAAAAAATGAAATACACAAAAATATAAATGGGGGGAAATGAGAAAATATCTATATATCAGAATGTCAACTGATAAATGTGAAAGCAACAATAGTTAGAAAGAGTCACTATTTTGCAACCATCATATTGCAACAACCCTCAACTGATTCAGCCAAGAATCATCAGTAAACAAACTACTTTGTGAAAGTGTACTGGGGGAAAGGATATTAATAGCCTCAAAGTATTTCCACATAGAATAGTTATAAAGAAGAAAAACACTACTTTATAGTAAGAAAATCTGGCAAACATCACATCTTCTCTAAGTAACTAATACGACAAAGAAAGAGCATGAGCTCTCTGATGTAATAGTAGTGAGAAGAACATATCAAACAATGGTATTCACTCCAAAAATGCATAGCTTGAATTTAACTATGAGGAAACAATCTGACAAGCCCATATTGAATATTCTACAAAAACTGGTCTATCCATATCTTTAAAAAATTTCAATGCATGAAAGAGGGCAGAAAGCTAAAAAATTGCTCCAGGGGTAAATATACTTTCAAGATTAAATAACAATGCCTTTGTTCTTCAGAGATGAAAATGGAAATATTTAGGGTCAGCAACCTTAACTCTCAAAATAAATCATACATAGAAACATAGAAAACAAAACAATGGATCCTAAGAGAATACCCATCAAAAGGAGAATGGTTGAATATAGACATTTTCTTAAAACTGCAAGAGAAATAACACAATGACCCTACTGGTGCATGACTCTGTGTACTAGGCCTCTAGTTTAAAAATAAGTACGTACACTGAGTGGCCAGATTATTATGATCTCTGAACACAAAATAATCTGGCCACTCACCAAAATGCTTTGTACCTATTTGTATCTCAAATGGGTACCAAAAGCATTCTAAACTTTTGTTGGAGATCAACCACCTATTGGCCTTGAGCAAAGGGGAAAACTGATCAGGTGCACCATTTATAGTATCTATGGTATCAAATAAATGGGGTACTCAAGAGAAGTACAGTGAGTGGCCAAATTATTATACATTCAGAGGTCATAATAATCTGGCCACTCAGTATAAATGCCTTATTTGTGGAACATTTTATATTATTGAAAATCAAAACAATTAGTGACACACTAAGCAGTGTAAATGGCAGGCTGTCTCCCACCTGTTGTCACTTCGAGTCTCCATGGCCACAGGATTCGGAGAGGCCCGATGTCCTGAAATAGGAATCAGGCTGCTCCTCTCCGTTGGGTAATCAGGCTGGATCCTAGGAGAAGTGTGTGTGATCTGCTGAGGCACCACCTTAGCTACAGAAAGGAAAACCAATGACATTATTGCTCGTATGCTTTCACTGTCAAGCCAAATCATTCTTGTAATAAAATCTTAATGCAAATAATAATAAGTCTAGATTTTTAGTTGTTCTTTTTAAAATACATCTTATTGATTTTTTTACAGAGAGGAAGGGAGATGAATAGAGTTAGAAACATGGATGAGAGAGAAATATCAATCAGCTGCCTCCTGCACACTCCCCACTGGGTATGTGCCTGAAATCAAAGTACATGTCCTTGACCGCAATCGAACCTGGGACCCTTGAGTCTGCAGGCCAATATTCTATCCTCTGAGACAAACCAGTTAGGGCTGGATTTTTAGTTTTAATCAAAATAAAAAATGAAAGATGAGTACACAAGGTTCAATAAAATTATTTCAATGTAATCTATAATAATAAAAGCATAATATGCTAATTAGACCGGACAGCCGAATGACCTTCCAGACAAAGCTGTGGCAGTGGGGGCCAAGGCAGAGACGGTTAGGGGCGATCAGGCAGGCAGGCGAGTGCTTAAGGGAGATGAGGCAGGTAGGCCAGCAGTCCAAAATTGAGAGAGGGATGTCCGACTGTATCTCCCGAGGGGTCCACGATTGTGAGAGGGTATAGGCCGGGCTGAGAGATCCCCCCCCAATGTACAAATTTTATGCATGGGGCCTCTAGTCATATATATAAAAGCCTAAGCAACTGTTACAACTGATCAACCAGATGGTAGCTATGATGTGCACTGACCAGCAGAGGGCAGACACTCAATGCAGGAGCTGTGCCCTGGTGGCCAGCATGCTCTCACAGCCAACTCCTATGGCCAGGCAACCTCCCACAATTTCTCCCCCTGGCCAGCTGGCCCCAATTGGGACTGGACAAGATGGCCCTGATCGCCAGCCAGGCAGAAGGACCTGACCCATGCAAAAATTCAGGCAATGGTAAACTAGTCCACTTATATAATATTTTCACCCTATCAAAACAGGGTTCAGCATTACTCCTTTAACAAAAATATTAGCAACCAGGCCTCATTCCCTGACTTGAGATCCTTTTTTTGAGAAGGAGAAAACTTTTGATTAAAAAACAAAGCAGAAACAAATGAAAATGTAAATATAGGAATGACAAAGTCCTTAGATTCTACTCCTTAACTGGGTCCATAAGGAAGTAGCAATGTGGCTAATTACTACTGAGTATATCATCTTAATTTCTCCCATCCAAGTACTAACCAGGCCTGACCCTGCTTAGCTTCCGAGATCAGACGAGATCAGGCGCGTTCAGGGTGGTATGGCCGTAGACTATCATCTTAATTTCTAAGTCCCAGCTTCATCATCTCTTAGGCCTTCTCTAGATAATCATTTAATTTTTAATATCCTATGACTTTACCTAATACCTTACAGCAAAGTCAAAATGAAAAGCAGAGTTTTCAAATTAATATCAGGCTCAAAATTTGCTTTCCTCTACAATTTGCAATCAAATTTTGATTCGAAGGTGTAGGTGAACTGGGACATACTTTATGGTTCTTGAGACACCTATCTGTTAACTCTATGCCTCGAAATTTGCAAAGAAAAGCTGATAAAATAAACAAGACCTATGAGGATATGAAAAGGGATCAACTAGAAATATAAGGGATCAACAAGAAATAAAGAATACATTGTCCGGCCGAAGCTATCACTCAGAATCGAAGGTCAGATAAAGAGCTTCACAAATAAAAAAAAGCTTAAGAAGTTCATTACCCCCAAACCAGAATTATATGAATTGCTGAAGGGGGTTCTTTTGGAAGAGAAAAAAAAATAAAGATAAAAATTATGAACAATAGCCGAAACCGGTTTGGCTCAGTGGTAGAGCGTCGGTCTGCGGACTGAAAGGTCCCGGGTTCGATTCCGGTCAAGGGCATGTACTTTGGTTGCTGGCACATCCCTGGTAGGGGGTGTGCAAGAGGCAGCTGGTCGATGTTTCTCTCTCATCGACGTTTCTAGCTCTCTATCCCTCTCTCCTCCTCTCTGTAAAAAATCAATAAAATATATTTAAAAAATTATGAACAATAAATTCAACAAGTGAATCTAAAAACCAAAGGAATTAAAAAAAATCTGATGAACAATATTAACTGGTGAATATAATAGAATCAGAGGTATGGAAGGGGAGTGAATTGATGATTCTCGGGGGAAAGGGGAGTGGGATGTGTGGATAGAGACTGAACACAAACTGTGCATCTATGGATGAGGACAATGGGGGGTGGTGAAAGGGCAGAGGGTGGGGTGGGAACCTAGTGGAGGGGAGCAATGGAGGGAGAAAAAAAATAAGGAACATTTGTAATAATATGAACAATAAGGATTTATTAAAAAAATAAAGTAAAAAAATAAACTCTTAAAATGTTTTAAAAAAATAAATGAAATATGTTAAAAAAATAAAATTATTTAAAAAAATTTTTTCTAAAAATAAATAAATAAATAAATAAATAGTTAGCCCTAAATGGTTTGGCTCGGTAGATTGAGCATCAGCCTTTGGACTGAAAGGTCTCACGTTCGATGCCGGTCAAGAGCATGTACCTTGGTTGCGGGTACATCCCCAATAGGAGGTGTGCAGGAGGTAGCTGATCAATGTTTCTCTCTCATCGATGTTTCTAACTCTCTATCCCTCTCTCTTCCTTTCTGTAAAAAAATCAATTATACATATACATACATACATACATATATATATAATTGATTTTTTAATATACAAATTTAGCCTGCTAGGCTGGCTGGTGTGGCTCAGGGGTTGAGCATTGACCTATGAACTAGGAGGTCATCATTTGATCCCCAGTGGGGGAGGGAAGTGCAGGAGGTAGCTGATCGTGTTTCTCTCTCTCTCTCTCTTCCCCCCTCCTTCTTTCTCTGAAATCAATAAAAATATAATTTAAAAATTAGCTATATTTGGTCAAACATTAACTCACCCCATAATGCCTTGGTGTGGCTTTTTATGGTCCCCGGGCGGGGCGTTCCCTACCCGACAGAAGGACAAAAGTTTTATCTGTGTGAAGACCTGTTACATCAGTGACAGCACAGAACCACTAGAGACTAAGATGATGCCCCCCATTACCCAGAGTGCAACACATCGAACACCAAAGGAGAGCAGCACAACCACCATGAGGCCCAGGAGTTTCTGGGAGGTAGCTGGAGAAGTTCCTAGAGGATGCCCTTGGGTGGCCCACTGGAACACTGATGATGGCATCTGTTGGCTCATAGGGAGGAGCTGGCATGGCACATTCGCCAGCAGTAAGAAGTAGAGTATTGAGTGGAAAGCAACTAAGCCTTGTTTTTCACTCTTCCCATAAAAGGCAGAAAAAATAATCCTTCCAAAGAATGCAGCTGTCATTTGTAGGATAACTAAACAGTGGTTCCTACCAGTAAACACATTCCAAATTTTAAATCTTTACTTTTTTCTAATTAAAAAAGCCACATTCTCTATTACTACATAAAATTTAAGGAAAAATATAATGCAGAAACTATAACTTGGCTTTAAGGCTACTACATCCAAAGGTAATTTCGTTGTCTAAATGCTGTGACTAACTCGGCTTTGTATGTTCTAAGACATGGGCATGTGTGGGCCAGAGGAGAAAACAGATGGTCATCTACTGGAGATAAGCGTTCATTAGAGGAGAAAACTCAACGTTCATTGTTAATCATTTTTATTTCTGACCCAATATATTCTTACTAGTAACAATGGCTGAATTCAATATTCAGTCTCACCTGGAAAAAAACCACTTAAGTGATTTAATATATCCTCAAGACCTAAACTTGAAGATCAATGCTCTAAGTTTAATGCCAAGTTTTCCTTCTCAACCTTTGTACAGGCATCCTATTATGATGTAACAAAAAAGTATTTGGGTTACTATTGTATAAAATAAGAAAACAAAACTAGAGCAAAAACCTAACTGAACTTAGATGAAACCAATCACATTAAGGTGGCAGATGTTAAATGTTTAGATATTTCTGTCAAATGATTTTCATATCTAGATTCAGTAAATGGTTAAAATTCAAAAATAAATGAGCTAAGGAGATATAGAATACAGTACTAAGTTACTGTATTAACTTAGGACAGGAATAAAGTTGCTAGTTTAAGCAAAAATGTATGAACACAGTTCTATCTCCTGGTACTTTTAATGAAAGTTTTTATTTATTGATTTGAGAGAGAGAGAAAGGGAGGGAGGAAGAAGATATAAACACAGTTCTATCTTCTTGTACTTTTACTTGAAATTTTTATTTATTGATTTGAGGGAGAGAGAAAGGGAGGGAGGGAGGAAGAAGAAAGGGAGGGAAGAAGGGAGAAAGAGAGAAAGATAAATAGATTTTGTTGTTCCACTTATTCGGGCATTCATTGGTTGGTTCATATAGATGCTATGACCAGGGATCGAACCTGCAACATTGGTATATTGGGACAGTGCTCTAACCACTGAGGTACCAAACCATTCTGGTACATTTAGTGAGGTGACTTCCACTGTGATCTCTTAAGAAGATACGTGACATTAACAAGAACTAATCTCGAAATAATTTTTCAGAGGGATCAAGAGAAAACCAAAGAGGCCCTATAGGATACACTGCCTCCTCTTCACTGGTCTGATTTTCTTCACAGCTGCAGATTCCCTCATGAGAGTCTGGACTGTAAACATGAAAAGAATGGGCTGGGCTCTGATGTTACAGCTGAGGATAACTGCCGACAATGGCAAGTATAGCCAGACGTTGGTTTGTCACGACAATAATGAATTATCAAGATTGAGTCAGAAACATCGATCAGCTACCTCCTGCACACCTCCCACTAGGGACGTGCCTGCAACCAAAGCACATGCCCTTGACTGAAATTGAACCTGGGACCTTCCAGTCCACAGGCCGATGCCCTATCCACTGAGCCAAACTGGTTTCGGCTCAATGATCTTTTCAATAACAGTGCATTACTGACGAAACCGGTTTGGCTCAGGGGATAGAGCATTCGATTCCAGTCAAGGGCATGTACCTTGGTTGCATGTACCAAGAGGCAGCTGATCGATGATTCTCTCTCATTGATGTTTCTAACTTTCTCTCCTTCTCTCTTCCTCTCTGTAAAAAAAAAAAATCAATAAAATATATTAAAAACAAACAAACAAACAAAAAACACAGTGCATTACTGCTGAAACCAGACACACACAACAAACTTCCTTTCACAGAAGAGAAGTGAGCTCCGAAGGGCCATGAGAGAAGTGTGGTGGAGGCTGAGCGAGCAGTGACAGGAGAAAGAGCCAGCAGCACTGTCTTCTCAGCTACCTGTCTTTGCGGGTGCATAGTACCAATTTAGGGTGGGCACAGCCCCGTTATCTGGGTTACCATTATTTGAAAAGTGTCCTCAAAGTTTGGTAAGAGGGCCGTGCAGCTGCAGTCTGTCTCGCATCTGCAAAACGCAAGCAGGGAGAAGAGCAGCCAGGCTGGAGGAGCACATGGGCGCAGGACCCCTCTGGTCTGGCCATTAGACCCCAAGGCCTCGTGCTCAGCACGTCAGCATGCCAGCGGTCAGACACAGCCTTACTTTGGGTGTGAGGGCACGCTCATCACGCGGCCCGACGCTGAGCTAACACCAGAGCCAAAGCCGGCGGCCAGAGGATGCGTGAGAGCAGCCGCTACCCCGCAGTCTGTCTGCGAGGCCGTGAGAGGGACAGCGGTCCTAGGATCGAGGCTGGCAGCCTGTGCCCCGAGAGCCAAATGCTGCCTGCTGCCCGCTGCCGTGAGGCCTGGGAGCTAAGCAAGGCCTGCGATTGAAGTGGTTGAGGGGAGAGGAGCATTTTGTGACACTTAAAATGATATGAAATTCAAGTTTCTGTGTCCAGAATGTCTCCCTGGAACATGGGCACGCCCCTGTTCACACTGGCCACTGGCAAGCAGCTGGGCAGAGACCTGGGAGGCCTGAATTGCCTGCATCTACCAGATGGCCTATCATAGGGGACGTTTGCCAGGCCCTGCTCCTAGTGACTCAAGTGTGCTGCCAGAACCTTCCAAAGGTTTTTTAAACATTCAAAGTATGCACTATGTAAAAGCGGGGATAGTGAAGACTAGAAGGAACTTTAAGGCAGTTATGAAGTGTTCACTTCAAGGCAGCACTTCAAGGAAAACCTATGTTTAGCTCTCTTCCCACTACTGTCAACCAAAGATTTTTCCTGAACAATCCATCACTTCTCCTCATTCCACATCTTTGCTTCTCGCTTGCTTTCCCTATTGTTTCTCTGTCAGTAAAGTTAATCTATTTCTTTAAAAGCTACACATAAAGAGAGTGAAGTTTGATTCTTAAGACAGTTAAAAGTCGAGTTAAAGTTTACTTTGAGCTCTCAAAGATTATTATCCTTTCTCTCTACCGTCATGCCAAACCTGTACAACAAATATTGTGAAAAGCTAAATTCACTGCTACTTTGAAACTCAACAGCTAAAAAAATCAATACTTTCCATCTATAAGAGCTCATCAGAGAGGCTGAACAATCCCCGTTTAGCTTCTGTCTGACGGGTGTACCACACTTACCAACTGGGATGTTGGAGGTGGTAACAGCGGTGGCATGGGATGAATGGGAGGGCATTGTCATGGTAACAATTGTACTCGTGGAGGCTTGTGTGTGTGACACAGATCCTAAAAAGGGAGAAAAAAGGAAAATTCTTCAACAATTGCCTCTGAACACATTGCAGATTCTCACAAACCCAAGACAAGCTCTTGGGAGAAGTTAAGATAGTTTTCATGGCCTACTCTTTTAGCGGAGGGGTGAAAGGAACCGGGCAGAAAGCAGGAGCAGGGCTGCTGACTCACCGGCTGTGGTTGCTGAAGAGATGGTGTTGGTTGCCAAAATAGGTGCCACTGTTGCCGCAGCCACTGGGGTGCCCGTGCTGAAGATCGTTTTCTGTGGGGAGACCCAGAACAGTTATAGACAAGCATCTGCCACTCCGTCCAGTTAGGAAGCAACCACGGCCTTCAGGATTGCACATGCATCGGACTTCTGCCTTTCTAACTGAACCACAGCAGCAGCACACAGCCGGCCCGCCCCTGGCTTACCTGCGCCATGGTGTGAAGCTGCTGCTTTGGTGTCCCCAGTGCAGGGTGCGAGGGCAGTGTTATTCTTGCTGCTGCGTCCCGTGACTGGGGAGGGCGCTGAATGCTGATGGCCGCAGACGGTGGGTGCTGGATAGACAAAGCTGGCCGACTGGAAGGACAGACAGACGTGACTTGTAACTTCTCTGCAGACACAGCACAGGCACCAACGCCATCGACTCCCTGGGACTAGCCATCGTCACAGAGAGGTAGTTTGTTGTTAATCCACACTGGAGGCTATTTTTTTTTTAAAATATATTTTGATTTTTCACAGAGAGGAAGGGAGAGGATAGACAGTTAGAAACAATGATGAGAGATAGGCATCGACCAGCTGCCTCCTGCATGCCCCCCACTGGGGCTGTGCCCGCAACCAAGGTACATGCCCTTGACCGGAATCAAACCTGGGACCTTTCAGTCCGCAGGCCGACGCTCTATCCACTGAGCCAAACCCATTAAAGCTGAAAGCCAAGGCTAAGTTTTTCTCCCTTGATTTTTAGAGTGGAAAGAAAAGGGGAGGAAGGAGAGGGAGAGAAAGAGAGGAAGAGAGAGAAACATCAACCCAAGAGACACATGGACTGTTAACCCCCCACATGTGTCACGACCAGGGCTTGGGATTGAACCTGCAACCCAGGTGTGCACTCTTGACAGGGAATCAAACTCATGACCTTTTGGACATTGGGCCAATGCTCTAACCACTGAACCACTGGCCAGGGAGAGTTGTATTTTTTTCAGAAGTCTGTGAGGTCCACTGTCGAACTAGTTAAGTAAAAGGCCCATCAAGTTTCTCTTCTGAAATTGTGAGCACCATTTAAAAAACAATCAACATGTACCATGAACTGAAGAAGTTAAACCTAGTTATTCTCAGCACCCTCCATATAGTTCATCAAAGCTCCCTGACAATCTCAAGGAAGCATCTATATCACATGTGTCAAATACAAGGCCCATGGGCCAAATCCGTCCCGCCAGGCCTTGCAATGTGGCCCGCACCGCGCTGTCATCACTGCACTCCGCTGCGTTTCCATCACAATGACAGCTTATGACTGTTCAGTAAACCATTCGGCCCGCGATTTAGGCTGGATTTTAGATTTTGGCCCCTTCTCTGATTGAGTTCGACACCCCTAATCTATATATATATGAAAGGCTAATATACTGCATCCCTCCACCTGTCCGACTGGTTGCTATGGTGTGCACTGAACACCATGGGCAGATGCTCAACGCAGGAACTGCCAAAACGCGTACTTGCCGTCTACAGAAATGGTAATGCAGACCTGGCGCTGACAAAGCAACACTTGGCTTCCTCTAAGTCGGACACAGGCCCTGTCACCACCCCAGAGTGACACTTCCCCAAATCGCAGCCTATGCTGCCGAGACGCACAAAATGCGGTGTCTGTGGGCACCAGGTAATAACATTACACTGCAACACCCGGCTTCCTCTCCCTAGCGACTAGCCTCCTTGCAGTTTCTTCAGCCCAGGAGCACGACTCGCTTCATAGCCAGGTGGAAACATTTCATGCTGTAACCAAATGCCTGTGAAGCGTTTTCCGTGCCTCATCTCATCTGATCCTCACAGAAGTCCTGGGGTAGATAGATAGGAGACTTGGTGGAATCCCATTTTCATTAGCCAGAAAGCAGATACTTAGAAAGCTTAGAAACTTCACTGAAAAGAAGTAAGAAATGGTGGACCTTGAAAATGACTCAGGTTTTCTCACTGCACAGAATATAGTCGAACACCGCTGCAGTTAATATTTCACCCTTTGTTCTCCCTGCACGATCTACAATAATAATCTGCTTCCTGTTGACATTAACTACTGTGCTGCTTACAATTACCTGAAAGAGACGTTGGGGTGCTTCACTGGGCTGGTAAAAGTTTAGCTACATCAGAAAGCAGGTCTAATGAAGCAAGTTTATTCTACATCTATAAAGGGCTAAGTTGACTCACGCATATGCAACACATATAAAGCTCTCACTGTCACCAATTGCAATACTCTTTATTGTATACTTTCCTATCCTTTTATATTTTGGAACCATCTACACTAATAAAAGAGAAACATGCAAAGTAACCATCACTCTCCTATTACCACCAGCCAGTCAGGAGGGAATATGCAAATTATAAAGAGAAAGATTGCCACCGCCCAGCTGCTCTGGGCACGGAGTGGCTGGGCAGAGCAGGGCGCTTGCTATGAGAGGGAGGGCAGGGGTGAAGGGATCTACAGGAGCAGCACTCTGGCCACAGCGAAGATGAAGATTGCATACTCCGGAGTCTGCAGTGAAGACGAAGAAGGTAGACTGGCCGGTGCCTGCAGCAAAGGCGGCAGACTCTGGCCGGAGCGAAGGCCTGGCTCCCAGGTGCCAGCGGAAAATCAGTGCTGGAAGCCAAGGGAAGGAAGGCCTATTGTACAAATCTCTTGGTGCAATGGGCCTCTGGTGTGAATATAAAGCAGAAAAGAAAATGGGTTAAGTTGAGCTGTAAGGGTGAAGATGTGACTCTTAGGATAGTATCCTTCTAGAATATGAAATTCAATGCAATGGTTACTAAGATTTCATGTGTCCAAACTAAGCAATGGTTTTTATCATAAGGATTCCGTCTCAAAATGCTTTAAAATCAAACCTAGATGGCTGGCATGGCTCAGTGGTTGAGCACTGACTTATAAACCAGGAGGCCATGGCTCAATTCTCAGTCAGGGCACAGGCCCAGGTTGTGGTCTAGATCCCGTGAGAGGCGTGCAGGAGGCAGCTGATCCATGATTCTCTCCCATCACTGATGTTTCTCTCTCTCACTCCCTCTTCCTTCCTCTCTGAAATCAATAAAATCAGACCTAGAGAGCTACCGGGGAATCAACTTTACAAAGGACAGCTTTCTCCCCGCAGAAAGAGAACTAAAGGTATCATCCTAGCTCCAAGGGAAGCGGGAAGCCTGGGCACACCTGCAGCTGTGGACACTGCTGGAGCTCACCGAGGAGGAGGCACATGCCTGGAGCTGACGGTGCAGGCACCACGCAGCGCCATGGAAGCCAGGCATGCCCAGCACTTCCAATGAGAAGCAGAGATTCGTGCACACATAATGAAAAATATGACACGTTTTAGGATAAATGAACCTAATTACGGAAACAATTTTGGACATCCTATAAACAAAGAACAATGTGATTAGAATCGCTTGGAAAGGGTCTCCTTAATTCAAACGTAAAGACATTCGTATTTTAAGAGGTCCAGCTTATACATAGATATATCCCCCAATGAATACTTACATAGGATAGGGGCAAAGTAGGGTTACAATTGTGAGTACATGAAACACAAATTTATTCTTGTATATTACTGAGTATTGTATCACTAGAGGCCCCGTGCACAAAATTCATGCACGGGGGGAGAAGGGTCCCCTCAGCCCAGCCTGCACCCTCTTCAATCGGGAACCCCTTGGGGGATGTCCCACTGTCTCTCACAATCTGGGACCACTGGCTCCTAACCACTCTCCTGCCTGCCTGCCTGATCACCCCTAACCCCTCTTCCTGGCTGCCTGATCATCCCTAATCTCTCTGCCTGCCTGTCTGATTGTCCCTAACCACGTATGCCTCCCTGCCTGCCTGATTGTGCCTAACCGCCTCTGCCTCGCCCTTCACCCGGGACGCAGGATTCCCTCCTTCGGCTGGTCGCAGGCACCTGGCACCCGGACCAGCCGCAGCTGTAAGGACCGTGGGTGGGCAGCTTATCCTTCTCTCAAGCTACAGCCTGGCTGGTCCCCAATCCTCTCTCCCCAGTGTTAAGTGTCTGAGCCATTATAGTGTGATGACCATTTGCATATTAACTTTATTATATAGGAGGAAGATTTCCACATTAACAAATGTAAACCTACTTGTGCCCATCCTGTATATATAATGCACACTACACACTAGATATATTTTATGTGCTTTACCTACAGTAAATAGTTACTCCTCAAAATGATCTTTGAAATAGTAATATTATTGCCATATTTTAGGTGAGAAACTTGAGGCATTTATTCTCTGACCTAGTACTACCACTTACACCATTACAAATATGCAACCGCATATGGTACAGTCTGTCACTTCACCCTAAAAGGGGACAAAGAGAATGAGTAAGATGTGTCTTCCTACAGAAGACAGTAAAACCTCAATGTAAGGGAATAATCGAGGGAGTGTCTGTTAAAGCCAAAAGTCCGTTACATAATAAAATAGGTTTAATGAATGCATGTTAAAAATTAGTTTACCTGTTTTTACATAATGTGACACATTGGTGTAATTATAATTATTAGTAAGTATGTATGAAAGTTTAATTTCACAGAAGTTTCCTATGTGTTACTGTAATTTTAACTTTAATCTGAGTAGGCCTAGTAAATGAGTGTTCACCAGTCACTGCGTACACAGATGCACAGGCTGGTGTGTGGCCTAGCACACGTGGGAACATGGGCCAGCCGGCACACTGCTGCTGTCATGCCACATGACAATAGAAGCCATTATTGGTCATGTTCTAATCATTTGCTGAACACTGTTTATGAGCAGAGACTCTTGGATTTAAATATGTAGACTATAGTTGTAGATTTGCAATATTTACTTATGTTTGTGAAATTTCTAGTGTTTCTTCCAGCATAAGGCCTACTCACCAAAATTTGTTAAAAATAATCAAATAGACAATAACCTGTTAATCTTGGTTAAAAGCATTTTAAGTTAAAAGAGTGTTAATTCTCACATAAGACATATGGACTGGAAATTTTGTCTGTTAAATCTGAAGTATGTTCGATTGAGGTCCACAAAATCAAGGGTTCACTGTAGACTCTTAAGAGAAAAAGGCAAGTAAGAAACAGTATGTATAAATATAGCATGCTGCATGTCCTGTGAGAAAGTATCGGACAAAGGAACACGTGTGTGTTTATCTGTGTATACACGCATGCGTGTGGAAGAAACCTCTGGGAGGACAAATCAGATGACAGGCAGCCTCCAAAAGCGTGGTGACTTGGGAGGGGGTGGGTCCTCCAGTTCCATCTTTACATTAGCTTTGGTTTTTGAACCAAATCCATACCTTCTATGTTTGAAAGAGTTCACAAAGCAAATCCAAAAATTAAAATCCAATTTAAACAAATAATCACAACTATATATTATGTAA